CCCCACCCCAAATCCTGCCCTCCTCAGACTCTACCCCTCAAATCTACAGGTATTTCCCAACCCAGAGTTGGCAACCGTGTAATCAGCTATGGAACTACTTTCCAGACCCTTGGAACCCAGAAAACATGGCATAGGAGGAGGTGCTTTTCTACCTTATCTGCCACTGCATAACACCCCCCTCCCCCTCAAAAAATAAATCAGAGGTGGAGAGAAACATATCTGTTACCATGAGGCTGTCCTCCCATTCTACCCACTTGGGGCAGCAAAATGACTTGAGACAGCCCTGCCTTATAGCTAAGCAGAAGGAAAGAAACATGTCTTGCCTCCCTCCATTTTCCACTTCCCTCTGCCGCCCCACCAGCCAGAGTCGGGACACTCATCTAGAGCTTCCTTCTAGATCTCGTTGTATTTCATCCCACAATGGGCATTACTCCTAGTTTTATATAAAGGTAGTAATATTGTAATTTTAATTGCCTGTGAAAATTTAAGGCTGTTCCCCTCCCTTCATACTGTATTTTGATTGGATTATTGCTTTATTTGACTGTTCTCTAATTATGAAAGCCAGTTTATTCGCTATAAGATACTGTTTTTATTTCCTCATTCTCTAATTATGTAATCTAATTATTTTATTGTCACTTATATATATTATGTTTATAATATCTTGTAATCTGCCTTGAATCTGACAAAGTCAGACAACTAACTGAATAATTTTCTCTCAACCCAACCTGCCTCATGGGATTGCTGTGAGGACAAAATGGGGAAGAAAGAAACTGCCCTGAGCTCCTTAGAGGAAGGGATAAAAATATACTATCTGTACTGGATAGCTTTCTGTCTCTTAAAGTTCTTATATAGATGATGTGATTTGTTTGTCATGATAAAACACAAGCAGCCAGTGTAATACTAAGAAACTGCTAACATGTTTCTGATAAGAACTGACCATTCCAATTCTTATACTGGGAGATTACTTGCTGTTGTATCATACAGTACAAAGAAAAAATAAAGTGAAATAAAAAACTGAAAAGAGTCCCCTATTCTGTCCCATTTTATACCTGATGAAGATTGTTTTCTTAACCTTTTGCATTGCAGGAAATTTCCCGTCATGTGCGACTACTGCTGGACACAAAGGAGCCTCTTTTTTCCAGAAGCATCGCTCTCCCTTACAGAGATAACATGGGCTTATTTCTAGAACAAAAATCTCGGACTGGAAAACGAAGTGACGCCCTCACCTATCCTAAGTTTATCCAGGATGCACAGTTACAGATGTATGAGCCAAGTTCTTCAATTTCAAGACAAGTGCCAAGTCCAAATTTAAGTTCACTTTCCTCAAAATAATAACTGTAGTTGTGGCCTTTACAGTGCTGTGAATCTCTTTCCTACATCTGAGTGGTGGTCCCCACTCTCTAAGTATATTTATGTTACTTATTTTAAACATTTCTGTGCCACCTTTCAATCTAAATAGGGTTCCCAAGGCAGCTAACATCAAAGTATTAAAACATTTCAACATTAAAACAACAAAATACGGCATGTATAAAATCATTCAATAAAAACATAAATATACATAAGACCAAAACCAGAGAGGAGGGCCAGTAACAAAACAAAAATTTAATAGCACTTTAAAAGACTAACAAAATCTGTGAGTAGTGACTCACAAAAGCTCATCCCCTGGCAAAAATTTTGTTAGTTTTTAAGGTGCTGATGGACTCTTGCTTTTTTCTACTGCTACAGACAAACATGGCTACCCATCTTGATCTAAAACAAAAAAAATTCAACTGTTGACGGAAGACAATAATAGGGAGAGACAGCTGAATCTCCCGGGGGGGTGAGGAGTTTTGGCATCACAACTGACAAGGCCCTCAAGTTGCCACCCATTTAGCCTCAGATGGCAGAGGCAACTGAAGCAGGGCTTCTGAAGATGGCCCGAGTGGACTGGTAGGTTCCTATTGGAGGTGGCAGTCCTTATGGTATGTTGCTCTCAAGCTGCATAGGGCTTTAAAGACCTTGAAGTAAAGTGAGAGCTAGCATAGATGGAACAAGATTGGAGTGATATAGTACCTATGACCTACCCAAGTCACCATTCTAGCTGTAGCATTATGTAACAAGTGTAGCTTCTGAACAGTATTCAAGGGTAGCCCCATGTACAGTGCACTGCAGTAAACATACAGTTAGTTTGCTGCAAGCGAGCAAACTAAGGTGCACACCAGGACAGGATAAGCAGAAGTCTAACCCTAAACATCCCAACATCATGTGGTGCTGTGGCAACACAATCTCATGGATTAAGCTCATAAATGCACAGCACAGTAGATCACTGGACAGTCTCCTAACAGAAACCTTCTCATTGCTCTTCGTTAAAGCTGGTGGACTTCCTGATGGCACCTGGTATTTTTGGCCACTGTTTGACAAGAGTGTTGGACTAGATGGGCCATTGGCCTAATCCAACATTGGCTTCTCTTATGTTCTTATGGTGTAGTATGTTGGTTGAGAAAATGGGACATGAAACCATAATTTCACACAAACTCACTACATGACCTCATGCAGTTTCAGAACCATTATCTGCTACTGGGAATAACAAATTAGGATTATTGTAAGAATTACTGAAATCACCAACATGAAGTATTTTTATTTATTTATTTAATTTGTACCCCCGCCCTCTCCACAAAAGCAGGCTCAGGGCGGCTTTTGATGAATGCTCAGTGTTTTTATTACATTAGACTCTGCGTTGGGATCTACTGACATTTTAATGGAAGAGGGAATAGTGAATTTGTCTGATTCCACTCTTCCTTAAGAATCCCCTAACTCCTAGGAAACCTTTTTCTGAGATGACTACTGGCTGCTAAGGGTAGGCAGAGAAAGATTGGCTTCCAAAGCTGCAATGATGACACTGTCAAGTCCTGTAAAAGTCAGACATTCAGACTGGGCAAAGGAACTGAGTTTATGGGGCAGATTGAAATGTGGTTTGAAGGTATCCTGCACCTCATGCCTCAAACATAGATGATTTCTGTTTATTATTATTTTTAGACATTCATGCCTCAAACATAGATGATTTCTGTTATTATTTTTAGACGTGTTTTTCATTTAAGAAAATGTGCTTAATTATGCAACACACATGAAACTGACTTATACTGAATCAGACCCTTGGTCAATCACAGTCAGTATTGTCTATTCAAACTGGGAGTGACTCTACAGGGTCTCAGGCTGAGGTCTTCCCTATCAGGGATTGAATTCCTCCAAATTAACTTAGCAGGTATCCTGGGTATGAGGTTGATAATTCAGGTTATTTTTTGAGAAAAATACATTCACCTCACTCTACTCCTCATGGCTATCAGTCAAATCAGCCACAGCAGTAGGCTGATGCAGCTGCTAACTTTGACTCTAAGTGGAAATACTCTGAGAAGCAAACCAAACATGCGCTCATCAAGGCTGATGCAGCTGCTAACTTTGACTCTTAAGTGGAAAACCAAACATGCGCTCATTAGGATGGGTGCATAGTCACAATCTCCACCTGAAGGGAATTCCCATTCATTTCTGTGAAAATTCCCTACATAGCAATACCTTACTGTGCACACAGAATGTTCCTCAACTGCAAGAACAAAACAGGAAAATCAGCTACAGGAAGCAGGGATCTCCTGATTCATAGGAAACGCTAGAATCCAAAAAAATTTTCTACAAGCATTACCTGCAAATTTCAGAATGTTTTCAGGAAAGCAACTTTATTATTGCAATTCCATGCAGCAAATAGCACAATTCAAATTGTCTCATGCTGAAATGGGAAACCTGGTCATCATCTTTATATTGCAAGACTGCTTATGGATGTTGCAATCCCAAACAGGTCTACTCAGAATTCTACTCGGGTCTATTCAGTGGGGCTTACTCCCAGGAAGGTCTGTACTGCTAGTTAAATCACTAACCTTGTGTTCACCCTCAAATTGTACTCACAACTTAGAGGTGGAAGTATATAGGCTTAGCTAGATTAAAAACTAGTTCTTGAATAATTCCCTCAACTTCATTTTATTTTGGCATAACATACTGAGTAATTGCCTCAAGAGTTTTTTTAAGTGCCCCCCTCCTACTATGCATCTGATTTTTCCATGGTAAAATATCCTCCAGTGACATAGCTGCCTTATGAATAACTCTTTGGATTCTAGCAATGCAAATAGTTAGGATGAGTAATAGTCAGTATTGCCACTGTTCTTTCTAGTACTCAGTGGAAGCCTTCCCACCTCTAAACAGCTTGAATCTCAGAATAATTAATTTATGTCTTCAGAGTCACTACTAGATGCCTCCTCTGCATTACTTGGACAAGTCCCATCCGTGCCAGATGCTGTTAATTCCTGATTTGTGGTGGGATGCAAGAGCACAGCTGATAGAGGAATCTTCTTAGGGATGCCTACCATGCTTTCTTCATAATCTGCAGCCAACAGAGCAATGACATTACAATAAAATGAAGCAATGTTATTCCGGAAAGACGTATCTGTTGCTAGAAGCTGGTGAAGGGGAGTCTCCTTTAGCTGTACAGCTGTCAGGTCAAACCAGGGGAAGGTACTAGGAGAAAAGAAAAGGCTGTATCGTTCAATGTTATCCATTGTTCAACATTCAACTTTCATTCGACTGCTATCATTTTGCTATAATGGGTCTGCTGTATCTTTTCATTACTATGTATAGATGCAAAAGCTGGACACTGAAGACAATGGACAGGAAGAAAATCTATCCATGTGAAACATGGTGTTGGAGGAGAGTTTTACAACTGACACAGACCTCCAAAAAGAAAAGTACATGGGTTCTAGATCGAATCAAGCATGAATTCTCCCTAGAAACTAAGATACCTAAAATGCGGCTATTGTACTTTGGTCACATCAGGAGAAGACAATACTCACTAGAAAAGAATAATGCTACAAAACGCTGAAGGCAGTAGGCAGGGCTTTTTTTCTTTTTCTTTTGAAAAAGAAGTGCTGGAACTCTCAAGAGGGAAATGAAGTTTTCAATCTGCATACTGAAAACTCATGAACTTTTAAACATTTTTAAAAGAATTTTGTTGAAGAGGTTCCAGAACTCCGTTCTGGCACGTTCCCCCAGAAAAAAAGCCCTGGCAGTAAGATAAGAAGACCCAACATGAGATGGATTGCCTCAGTAAAAGAAAGCCATACCTTCAGTTTGCAAGACTGGAGCAAGGCTGTTAATAATGGGACGTTTTGGAGGTCACTAATTCATAGAGTCACCATAAATCAGAAGCAACTTGATGGTACATAACACACACACAGAAATCTTATATGTTGCAATGTTCAACCATTAAGTCATTTTTTGTTTCTCTGAAAAGATGTCAAGAGAAAACACCAAGCCATAGAACAGAGCCTGCACACTGGGGGAAATAGCTTTCTCTTACAAGTGATGGAATCTCAGCAAAGAGGGTAACAGAAAATAATAGAACAGCAGAATGAATATAGCACACATCAGGGCTGGTTCAAACATTACAGCTATTGGAAATACTTTCACATGGCAGGAACTGCCAGTACTGTTTGGAAAGTTTTTACCCTACAGATAATTCCAGTTGCACAGAATATCTCCATGGCACTACTGTATGTATTTAGTGGCCATGGGAAGGGCATGGAAACCAATCACATGCTAAGTTACTTTCAGTTATTATGACCTCCCTCATGGAGTTACCATCAGGCATACATTTTTGCAACAGCTTCCACCATACCGCTAACAATGGAAATGCTGGAAGTGGTCAATTAACCTTTCTGTGACCCAAGTTAAATTGAGGGGGGAGTGGGGGCTGTAGGGAGCCAACTCTTCAGGACTGAAGGCACTCTTCAGCCTTCCCTATGAAGAGATGCTTATTGCCTTCAAGAGCATACCCAGGATTCTTGTACTCAGAAACAATGATTCCAATAGAGCCATTCACTATAGCTTATAGTCACTATATATGAAGCCCTTTCAGCCTTTCAATGTGTTCTGTAGAGTAGAGTAATCACAACTGTTTTTTGGTATGGTGACCCAGAAGCCAAAATTTACTTGGTATGGTGACGGACTAAAAAAAAACCAAACAGACATGCACATTATCAATAAAACTTCAAAAGCCTGACCCCATTTTCAGAGGTTTCACAATCCACCTTTGGGTCAGATTGGGAAATGCTGAAGTAGAGCATGATTAAATGCAATTGGAAAGTTACCCTTAAATTCCAAAACTGTAACATTTGATTTCAAAAGAAGGAACTGTACAAAAATAAAGGGAACAGTAATAAGGAAGCTGAAGGGGAAACACAAGAGAGTCAGATCCTCAATAGAATGCATTCCACAGGTTAGGAAAGGCACTGCCAAGTTTAAAAGAATGCCTGCATGGTTAACAACACAAGTCAAGGAAGCTATAAAAAATAAAAAGTGGAAGGTCTGTCCCAAAGCATTGAACAGGAGGGACCACAGGCTCTGGCAAAAGAAATGCTAGTCAATAATTAGGCGTTCTAAAAGAGATTTTAAGGAGCGGATTGCTAAAAGCATCAAGACAATAAACATTTTTTAAAATATATCCAGAGCAGAGAAGCATTGGGGGCTTTGGATGACAAAAGTCAATGACTTTTTTTGCTTCTGCGTTCACTGTGGAATGTGTGGGGCATGTACCCACACCACAGTGTCAGGTTCCACAGCCAACAACAGAGTACACACTTATCAGAAAGGTTATACTTTATTGCAGAGCTATAGAGGCATTAACATAGGCACTGTTAAGAATGGCAACGTTCCTACAAGCATGATGGGATATAGGGTATTTGTATGCACCCCCCCTTTCCATAAGCCAATTAGCCTGTCTCCCGTGCATGGGAGACGGGTCCCCAGGCCATTAGAGGCCGCAGCTGGGAACCGAAAGCGCTCCCACGGTTCCAGGCATCCCAGACTCTACACCAGCAACCTGCAAGGGAGAGCCAGTTTGGTGTAGTGGTTAAGTGTGCGGACTCTAATCTGGGAGAACCGGGTTTGATTCCCCACTCCTCCACTTGCACCTGCTGATGTGACCTTGGGTCAGTCACAAGCTCTGGCGCAGCTGTCCTTGAAAAAGAGCAGTTTGTGTCAGAGTTCTCTCAGCCCCACCCACCTCACAGGGTGTCTGTTTTGGGGAGGGGAAGGGAAAGGAGTTTGTAAGCCGCTCTGAGACTTCAAGTGAAGGGCGGGGTATAAATCCAATCTCTTCTTCTCTTCTTCTTCTTGATAATCAAGCAGTACAGAAGCAAAAGTAAAAAACAGCATCTGGCCCACAGAGGAAGAGAATGAATCCCCCCCCAATCATGGCAGCATAGCAGACACACAGCCCCTATTTTCAGGAAGGTAGTCTGAAGAACTGAGCCAAACTGAGGTGACCAGAGATGGAGTTCTAGACCTATTGGGGAAATTAAAAACGGATAAGTCTTCATGTCCTTATGGCACACACCCGAGAGTTTCTAAGGAACTCAGATGTGAGATCATTGATCTAACCCATATATGTCACCTATCACTAAATTCAGCCACTGTGCCAGAAAAATGTGACATCAGTTTTTAAAAAGGGATCCAGAGGGGAACCACGAAATTACAGGCCAGTCACCGTAACAACTCTCTCAGGCAAATTAGTAGAAACTGTAATCAAAGATAGAATTGTTAGGCACGTAGAGGGACAAAGCCTGCTGAGAGAAAATCAGCATGGCTTCTGCAAAGTGAAGTCCTGCCTCACTAATCTTTTGGAGTTTTTTGAGAAGGTGAACAAGCATGTAGACAACAGTGACCCAGTAGGCATTATACAACCTGGACTTTGCAAAGGCTTTTGACAAGGTACCTCACCAAAGACTCCTGACTAAATTTAGCAGTCCTGGGATAAGAGGACAGGTTCTCTTATGGATTAAAAACTGGTTAATGAGAGGAAGTAAAGAGTAGGAATAAATGGACAGTTCTCACAATGGAGGAAAGTAAGCAGTGGGGTCCCACAAGGATCAGTATTGGGACCCGTACTATTTAATTTCTCTATAATGATCTGGAACTGAGGGTGAGTAGAAGAAGAAGAGAAGAGGAGATTGGATTTATACCCTGCTCTTCACTCAGAGCGGCTTACAAACTCCTTCCCCTTCCCCTCCCCACAACAGACACCCTGTGAGGTAGGTGGGGCTGAGAGAGCTCCTTCAAGAACTGTAGTGGATGTAGTTTGCAGATGACACAAAATTATTCAGGATGGTGAAAACCAAGGCTGACTGTGCGACAATGTGGCAAATGAAGTTCAGTGTTGGTAAGTGTAAGGTGATGCACATTGGGACAAAACCCCGACCCCCAACTTCAAGTATAGGCTAATGGGGTCTGAATTCGCTGAGACTGAGAGGGAAAAAGAACTTGGAGTCATAGTGGATAGCTCAGTGAAAGTGTCAACCCAGTGTGCTCAGGTGAAAAAGGCAAACTCTGTGTTAGGGATTATTAGGAAAAGGATTAAGGATAAACGGCCAATATTGTAATGCCCCTGTATAGATCTATGGTGCAGCTTCAACTGGAATACAGTATACAGTTCTGGTCACTGTATCTCAAAAAGGACATTGGAGAGCTGGAAAAAGTACAGAGGAGGGCAACCAAGGTGATTAGGGGGTTGGAGCACCTTCCCTATGAGAGAAGGCTGAAGAGTCTGGGACTTTTCCATTTAGAAAAGAGACAACTAATGGGGGAACATGATCAATGCTTCCTCTAAGCTGTGGAGTCTTGTGAGCAAAAATTCTACTTTGTGAGCTACTGGTATTAAAGTCATGAGCAAGCGATTTGGCTACCCTTGAGCCATCTTCCTGAGCTAGAACAAACAGTGTGAACTGGAGGCTAAAAAACTGTGAGCTAGCTCACACTAACTCAGCTTAGAGGGAACACTGGACATGATAGAGGTTTACAAAATTATGCATGGAGTGGAATAAATTGACAAAAGAGAAAATTTTCTCCCTTTCCCAAAATACTAGAACTCGAGGGCATCCAATGAAACTGATAGGCAGTAGGTTCAGGACAGACAAAAGGAAATATGACTTTACAGAGATTAAAATGTGGAATTTGCTGCCAGAGGATATAGTGATGGCCACAGGTATAAACAGCTTTAAAAGGGAATTAAATAGATTCATGGAGGATAAGTGTATCAATGGCTACTGGCCATGGTGACTGAAAGGGACCTCCACATTCAGAGGCACTAAACTTCTGAATCCCAGAGCCAGGAGGCAACATGCTGGGGAAGGCCTTGGCCACTATGCCCTGTTGTTGGCTGTCCAGAGGGACTGGCTGGCCACTGTGTGAGACAGGATGCTGGACTAGATGGACTACTGGTCTGATCCAGCAGGGCTCTTCTTATGTTCTTCTACTTACTCATCAGGTGTCAATGAGGAAGCGAAGGCCTCATTGATAAAGCTTTCGCAAACAAACAGTGGTTGTGGTGGTGGTGATTTCTGTTCCTCAGAGGAGGTGGTGACATTCTCATGAAAACATACTTCATTGAGTAACTTCAGGGCCTCTGTATAGGATAAATCCTGACGTGTGTAACTGTTTAGAGTGGCATAGAAAACAGCCTCCAGCCACTTGGGATTCACAGCAATTGCCCCTGCAAAACAATCAAGAGGGAAGCCCTACATTAGATTTAAGGCCAACTGCTGCTCCTTCTAATTTGCAGCTCTCTGTTGGGATCTCAGAGACAACATTTGGTAGTGTTCCTCACATCTTCATGGGACTGTCTAAAGTGGGGTAATCAACTCCCAGCATCTTCATTTTGCTTGGCCCCCTGGACTGCTTTTCTGCTATATACCCTTTCAACCTAATGGGCTTATTCTTCACTCACATGAAATTTTTACATTGGGACATCTAAAACAAGGCATTTGTGTACACACACACACACACGCCCCCCTGGGAATAGCCAGGATCAGACATAGTTGAAGGGAAAAGTACCCATAGGGCCAAGGGGACACGTAGCCCGCACAACAGCTGGATCTCTGAGCGCTTCCACAACTGTCCTGTTCATCTCCCACGAAGTGAGGGGGCTGCCGTCTGTGAAGGTGTAGTGTGGCCTCAAGACAGCATTGGAGGAAATGAGTTGCTTCAGCCTGAAAACAAGCAAGAACCAGGTTGATGGTGGTCACCAGCAAGCATGCCAGAAGTGTTATGGGATACTTCTGTAGAATAACCATTAGAACATTTCCACAAATCTAACCAATACCCTTTTAACCAATACCCTTTGGACGGTCATCAGTCACATGTATACCATCTGAGGAACTAGCAGTAACTTAACAGAGCTATACCAGTCCCAGTCCAGTTACCTTTATTGGCATGTAACCCTTGCAAACCCATATACAAAAAAAGCACCACCAACAACAACCACAGAATAGAATAATACTTGCAAAATTCAGAAACAAGGAATTACCAAGTAAGTATACCCATCAATTAAATAAAGGGTGAATAGAAATGGCACCAAAAAGAAATTTAGAAACTTCTGTTATCTCAAGGTTTGGATTATCAAGAAGAATAAGAATCTTTAAGCAATCAGGAGAACAGGTTTTATTAGCAGCATTATACAGCTGCATTATACAGCAGCATTATACAGCATTATACATACATATATGTAGCTCAGAACAAAGTAAATTGGCTTTTATAATTGAAAAAGCCTCAGATTCAGAAGTAAGGAGTAAGGAATCTAAGGTGATATCCAGGGATTTAATTTTGGATTCTATATAGGTAATCCAGTTAGAGTCATTAGATTCCAGTAGAAGTTGATAGGTGTAACCAGAAGGGTCCGAATTGAAAAGAAGGTGAAGCCAATACTTAATTGTAATTAGCCATGCTTTAGTTATCAACATGTTCTGGCCACATTCCAGGCATAAAGCTGCATAGGGACACACATTGGCACCCCAAAGATTTTCCTCAGGAAATAGGACCGAGGCTGTTCTATGAGATTTCCAGTTGTATTGATCCAAATAAGCATCCCATATAATAACGGGGCCCCTATTTTAGCATTAAAGGCTTTTAAAGCAGCAGGTATACTGGTTACCTCTTCCTGAAAAATAACATTTGGAAATTGCTGCCGCATTTACCTTGGCCGTATTAATTGCTGTTTTTCGGTGACATACCCAAGAGGCATTGTATTGAAAATGAACACCAAGATATTTAAAGACTTTGACCCGTTCCAAGGAATGGCCATTGATTTTCCAGTCATGAAACTTCCAGGAGTTGGAAAAGACCACTACTTTGGACTTCTCATAATTTAACTCCAGGTAGTTGGCAGCACAATATTCATAGCAGCGATCAAGTAAACACTTTAACCCCAAACGAGTCGGTGACAAAAGGACTGCGTCATCAGCTATACCCTTCAAACTCTTTGATTTCAATTCACTGAGAAGGGTGTAACTGCTTAGGATGGCACTGTAAGTGTGCTTTCCTGGCAAAAGCCATCAGGAAGGAAATCAGCATGATTTTTTCCTCAGTTGTCATTGACAGGCTGCATTGAGGTGTCTTACGAGTGCAAATTAAGCTTCGAATGAGCACCACCACTGTCTGCTGCAGTAGTGGCTTTTACCACTTTCTCCTCTCACTTTCCTCCTCCTCCTCCTTCAGCATGAACTTCTCCGGCTTAATCAAGGGCCAATTTATCAAGCTTATTCAGATGTCATGATGATGTCATACCTGGGCAGAGGGATAGCTGAGACCAGGCTGTATACAATAGAAGATTGTTTGAGTTCCTTGTGAACTTCTGAGCAGATGTATGGCAGATGGGAAGGGAGGCAGCAGAGAAACACAACGTCTGCCCAGCCCACCAGCTTCCTGTTGTTGTAAAAGCAGTCAACTCCTAGTGCCTGAAATTCTACTGGAAAAGAACAAATGAAAAAGAAGGTAATCCTCTCCGCATGCTTCATTTATTTGGGCTCACAGCCTACTCTAGCTCAAAGATTCAGGGTGAATAACAATATAGTAATAATTCTACCCTATCCCTTTCTGTGTTGCTTTATCTTTAGCAACCCAAAAAACAGTCTGAATACATCTCATATAGCTTTCAGAGGATACGCAAGATTAGACTCTGGGAAGTCTCCAGTGAAAGACAATACCAAAGTTATGCTTCTCTGCATGGTGCATAGATGATTTACAGAGGTTCACTGTCAATAACAGCAAAAGAAATAGGGATAGAAGCAACATCTTAGGTATTCTGAGTCTAGATGATACTTCAATACATAGACTGTATTGCTAGGATGAGATTGAGTGATGTTACTAAATTTTCTCTCAAACATATTGGCATGAAAGAAAATGGGCCACAACGTTTCAGTGAAACCATCCAATCAGACAGCACATGAGAAAACCAGAAATAATGGTGATGGATAGCTACAACAAAGTCTTCTTGGTTACAGAGGAAAGAAGCTTCTATACCCAAAGCAAAAATGCAGAAAAACATTTGCCTGGCACTATTTCAAGAACTCCGATTTGAAGTCCACAACTCAAAAGCAGTCAAGTCATAGGAACTGGCCAGTACTCAAAAACTATAAAAAGCCTTTTAATAATCCTCTTTTTCCCTCCCTTATATAAGGGAAATAATCCATTTATTAACGGTCTCATATTTTAAAATGTATAATGTGATTTTGGTTATTCGGATTGACAGTTTCTTCTTTTTTTCTTCCTAATCTTCAGAAGATCCTCAACATTTCCTTATATTATTCAACTTAAAACTCAGAGACAGGTTGCTATTGTTCTCATGCTGTGTTTTAATAATACAGAATAGGGGCTGAAGGCCAATGTACCCTAAGGTTACCCAGTGAGCCTGTAATAATTCCGCTGGGATCTGAATTCTCACATTTTCCTGTCCCAAATCCACCATCAATCGTGATTTTGAGTCATCTGAGGAAGACAGATCTAGAATGTCAAATCTAAAAGAAGAGCAAGGACTCAGAACAGTTGAGGAGGGATTATGGGAAGATGGCTACCAGCTATTTGCAAACTAGCCTGTAGCTATGGTGGGGCATCTTGGGGCCACGTCCCCTTAATTACACACCATGCCCCACAAAACCCTTTCTTTGAACCCATAGTAATGTTTTTTAAAGTTTTAAAATGTTTAATTTTAACTGTGCCGCTACGCCTCAGTCTGCCTGCCCTGCACATACCACCTTCCTCTTCTCCAGATGGCCAGTCTGTCGTGTTCTTCAGCCACGCGCATGCCTTTTCCAGCTGGCCACTGCACCCATCCCTGCTTTTCCCTCCGTCCAACAAATTCCTGAGCCCTCTTCCTGAATCGCCCTCCCAGTAGCCAGCCGGTCGGGTCCTGACTTGCTTAGTTGAACCACGTGACCTGCCTTGCCTGCCCCGCCCTTCCTATATGCCGGTGGCTGGCAACTCGTTTGACTGAACTGCTCGTTCGCCTGACCCTGCAGGAGAATGGTCGGCCGCCCAATTTGTACAAAAACAGTCTTGGGGTGCAGGGGAGTTGCGGGTTAGTCAAAATTACTGTTTGAAGATCTGCTGGAAATGCATGGCTTTTTAAAAGCAACCAAAAAGTTCAATCCTGTTTTGAAGCATCAGCAGCCTAAGCATCTTAATTTAAAACATAAAGATTTGCTTGATGTAATTACTGAAGACTCTTGAGAGTCCCTTGGACTGCAAGAAGATCAAATCAGTCAATCCTAAAAGAAATCAACCCTGACTGTTCCCTGGAAGGCCCGATAATGAAACTGAAGCTCAAATACTTTGGCCACCAAATGAGAAGGGAGCACTCACTGGGGAAGACCCTGATGCTGGGAAAGATTGAAGGTCAAAGAAGACGGGGACAGCAAAGGATGAGATGGTTAGACAGTGTCATAGATGCAACGAACATGAAATTGAGCCAACTTCAGAGGACGGCGGAAGACAGGAAGGCCTGGCGTGATCTGGTCCATGGGGTCGCAAAGAGTTGGACTCAACTGTGCGACTGAACAACAAATTACTGTTTGAAGATCTGCTGCAAATAATGCATGGTTTTTTTAAAAAAAGCAAACAAAAAGTTCAGTGCTCTTTTGAAGCAGGGTGAAAACGGGGTAAGGGAATCTTTGCTTGCTGTAACTTTGCTTGGTGTCTGCTGCCCTATTTTTTCCCTCCTGAGCTTAGTCACTTATCAGTTCAGCCTAGGTGTTCTGAACTGTTAAATTCCATCTTAATTTTTCCATCCTGTTTTCAGGTTCATTTACTCCCGGGGGCAGGGGGGATGCACATGCTTCTTTCATGTTTCCTTGTTCTGATCATTTATTAACAGCTTCTATATTTTATTATCTGGAAATGGACAGGTTCATCACTAGATATGGTGGACCCAGACAATCTGGACACGGACCAACAACTGAACAGGTACCCACCCCTGAGTCCTCACCCGGCCCTGCAGAGGAGAACAACCAACCACGCAGAGGAGGAGCCTTCAGCTTCCTCTGGAAGGGTGTCATCAACCTCCTCTCAGCAGAGAGAGCCAACACTTACTCCAGAACTATACTGGCCTCAGTGGTCCTAGAGCAAATAATTTCCTTTTACAAAACCACTGAGGTGAGCGGTATTGAAAATGTAGCTGTTGTCATCAGATTTGTAAACGAAGGCAAATCATCAGAATACCTATTGAGTATGCATGAACAAACAGTTAACAGCAGACTACATAACTGAACTTCTGTTTCAAGTTCTTAACTGACTGTGGATTTAAGAAGAAGAAGAAGAGATTGGATTTATACCCCGCTCTTCACTACCCAAAGGTGTTTCAGAGCAGCTTACAAACTCCTTTCCCTTCCCCTCCTCACAACAGACACCCTGTGAGGTAGGTGGGGCTGAGAGAGCTCTTTCCAGAGCTGTCCTTGAGAGAACAGCTCTGACAGAACTACAGCTTGCCCAAGGTCATCCAGTCAGGTGCAAGTGGAGGAGTGGGGAATCAAACCCCATTCTCCCAGATTAGAGTCTGCGCACTTAACCACTACACCAAACTGGCTCTCAATCCTGGAGAGCTCATAGAGCATCTAGGGTGTGCATATCTCTTCCTTCTGTTGCAGGTGGGCAAGACGAGAGACATGAGCCAAAGGGGCTGCTGCCCTTGGCTTTTATCCTGTTGCTTGCAGTCTGTGGTTTTGATGGATCACCCTGCGGGATATCAGAGACACTCACCTTGTGTACCTTGAGGTGGGGGGTGCTTCTTTCTTTACACTGTATTTTGTTTAAATTTATTTATATTATATAGTTATTCTTGTAAGCTGCTTTGGGGCCCCACTGGAGAGAAAACCAGGATAAGATATATGCTAAATAAATAAACAAATTCTTGCATCAAACAGTAATAAGAAATTATTATTATTATTATTATTATTATTATTATTATTATTATTATTATTATTACATTCTATTTGTATACCGCTCACCCCCTGAGGGCTCTGAGCAGTTCACATTACATACAACACAAGCCAATCCTAACCTAGGGCCACATACATACAAGGGGGAGAGAAATGCAGATGGAGTTTCGGGGGACAAATAAACAACATTTGTTTTTACTATTGGGAGTTGTCAAACTCTACCAGGATTGGTAAGGTAATCAAATCTGTATTTGGGAATGCTGGGAGCACAGATGAATCTAACTTCTGTCAAGCATAGATTCTTACACAGAGTCTCTGGCCACCTTGTAGAGATCTGGATATTCTTTCCTGGAAAGCCACCCAGTTCCAGGAGCACTCTGGCCAGCTGTTTTCCAATGTGGCCTCCCCCAATTATTCCAATCTTTAGGCTTCGAAGACTTATTTCCTTGGATTCCCGGGCATAAAGAGGCACATTCTCACGAATCTTCTGTTTCTGCCTGAGGAAGGACACAAAAGCAGAACTGTAACACAGTAATTACAAACAGTACTTCTTATGAGGAAGGATGTTGTAGTAATAATAATAAAGTGGAAACACTGGTCTTTCTTTCCCCCTCTGCTCTTATAATGTATTGTGTCTTGCTGTGGGCTTTAAAAAAAAATAGTCTGGATTTAAATTTCTCTCTGTGTTATTACTTATCGTTCATTTTGTAAAACTAGTTTTAATTGATATTTTATTTTGGAAGCCATCTCCAAAACCGTTGGTTGAGAGGCAAGGTATCTATTCTTCCATTTTACTTTCACAACAACCCTAATTTCATCCTGCATTGAGCCTGTGTAATGTATTTTGCTGCTGTTAGTCAGGAGTGTTTCACACCCTCTTTGGATTCTTTGTAACATCCCCCATTCCCTCTTGTATATAAAATCACACCCAACAGTTGTACACTTAATTCATATGATGAAGTGAACTATGAGTCGTGAAAGGTTATACAAAATGCTATTTTGTTGGTCTTTCTTTAAGGTGTTGATTACTGTGGGAGAGGTTAAGGCTGAGAGACTGACTAGCCCAAGATCACTTGGCAAGTTTCATGGGACAGTGGGGATTTGAACCTGCCTCACCCAGGCCTTAGTCCCAACACTGTAGCCACTGCACTAGGCTGGTGGTCAGTACATGGAAGGCTACAGCTGAAACAGCAAGACAGAGGTAATATTAGCAGGAGATGGGGTGGGACTACACAGACCACCAAATCTCTGATGACTGGAAGCTCCATTCAAGCCACCTCACTGCCTACACATTTCTTAGTAGTTTTCAGAGAGAAGATTGTAGGAGTTGAAAAAAAAATAAACCTGACTGACATTCTGTAGTTGGACAAACATATGGGAAGGTCACCTGACTCTTTATGTTCTAGAAGGAGAAGACCAAGATCTTTTCACACAGCACCAAAAGTCCATTATATTTTCTTTCCACTTTTCAGACAACTGTCTCCCAAAGCAACTGACCAGTCAAGAGACACAAGCCCCGCCTTCATGCTTACACAAATCTAAAAAGACAAGACACATGAGAGAAGAGGCACTGAGGAAGAAAGACAGAGGGGGAAGATCCATTTGATGGTATCAGAGCACTGCTGTAGTGTTATGAATATTGCTTACATGCAATAAAACACAGAACTGAATCTTTGTCAATGTAAGAGTTACATATTGCTTACACAAATCTAAAAAGACAAGACACATGAGAGAAGAGGCACTGAGGAAGAAAGACAGAGGAGGAAGATCCATCTGATGGTATCAGAGCACTGCTGTAGTGTTATGAATATTGCTTACATGCAATAAAACACAGAACCAAATCTTTGTCAGTGTAAGAGTTACATATCAGACAGATTTAAGGGCAAACTGCTAAGTGCCAGTTCCAATGGCTAGGATTCCCTTCCTCAGGCTTCAGATGCCACTTTTTAAATGCACAATCAGAACATACAATCCTCAACTTTATTCTATTGTCAATTGTTCATCTGAGTTCTGACATAACATAATCTATTAAAATTTCCTTACCTTATCTCCACCTAACGATGCCAGCCTCCAGATGGTATCCGGGGACCCCCCAGAATTACAGCACATCCCCAGACTACAGAGAGCAGTTCCCCTGTAGAACATGGATGCTTTGGAGGGTAGACTCTGAGGCCCCTGCCCTCCCCAGGTTCTATCCCAAAACTTCAGGAGTTTCCCAACCTGGATCTTGCAACACTACTGCCCCATCCGCTGCCAGTGGCCAGGGGGGATCTCCCCCCCCCCCCCCCCCCCCCCCATGTCCATTACTAAAGACATAAAACAGAGTTCATAGGAGGGACAGAGATAAACTGGTAGGAGCAACATTTGAAGATGAAAAGAAAGTTGGTCCTTTTATGCTTTGCCTTGGCGGACCACAGATTGACAGAAGGGAAAGGAAACGTCTTTTCATCCTCTTGACAAAAGATATTAAGGATCACCCAAGGCAAAATCAGCAGCACTTTGAAGTCCTCTCTTGACTGAACTTCAATATGCAATTGATAACAGGCAGTGGCACTCCATTTTAAAAAGAGTTAACAAGTCAGTTTGGAATGTACCATGCTACAGAACATTTTGTAGTGACAGAAATCCTAAAGGCCAGGTTGCCACCCATCCACCAGCAGGTTTAATCACCCCTAAGAAATCTAAACGGGGAAAATGGTTGTTTCCTGCCTTACTTGGTGGCATCAAGCAGCTGGCAGAAGAAGACTGCATGGGCACAGGCATTAACTGTCAGCCCTTTGGCATACTTTCTCAAACACAGGAGGTGCTCCTCAGTTGCCTCTGCTCCGTAATCAGGTTGAAAGGTCTTCAGATTCAGCATAAGATCAGCCATCTTGAACAAAAATAGTGTCTAGCCAGCAGCTGCAAAAAAAAAAAAGTAACGAGGCTCTTCCATTTGTAGTTCTGCAGTGGCCACAGTTTATTTATTTATTTATTTAACTTATATCCCGCCCTTCCACAAGGGCTCAGTTTCTGGCAAATGTGTCACATATCAGGTCCAAGTGTTAGGTAGTACATTAGCTCCTGGGATGTTCATGCAGCGTAGGACACACAGGCAGGACTGCCTTTGGGCTGCTGGTTCCAGTCCAGCTTATACCATTAAGTATTTCTGCCTATGGCATGAATTCCCCAGGTTGGTTCTAGCTAAATAGACAGAAGAGCTGTATTCCAAGTTACTGAGGTTCTGAAGAATAAAATAATTATGTGGTACTAGGTTTGCCAGCTCCCGGTTGGGAAATACCTGGAGATTTTGGGGCTGAGGAGGGCAGGTTAGGGAGGGGAGGGGTTTCAATGGGGTACAATGCCACAGGGTCCACCTTCTACAACAGTCATTTTCTCCAGGGGAACTAATTGCTGCACTTTTTCTAGTAGATTTTTATACTTTCCAGCTTCATGCCATACAACAATGGGAGCTGAACAACCTGTGTGGGACTGCAACCCAAAATTTCCACAAATATTAAAGCTACACAAATTTCCCTTCATAAAAAACTTCACTCTGCCACTGCCTGTTTTGCCTGGTTGGTAGATCCAGGTAGGCTGCTTCACTGACCCCTACTTTGCTACCTACCTTTCCTCCCTTTGCTGCTGCTGCCACCAATCAAAGCTTTTCTTCTGAGTAGGGGGTGTCTGCTTTACTTACTATGAAGTCTCAGTTTGAGGACAAACCCCTTTCTCCACAGTTCCTGCATATGTGGATATTAGGAAGAGAAGGTTTAAAAAACCCCTAAAATATGCAAACATATTACTGTTTACATCTGCTACAGCAACATGAACAAGTAGGTTTTTCAGCCATTAACAAACTTCTGCATACTTTTCTACCCTGTGTAGATAGATTGTATCAGATCTTGCTAAACAGTCTAAACTGATAAAACAGTACTTAGAAACTACTTAGAAATGAGCCACAGGTTTTTTGTATTTCTTGAACTAATTCGTCTTTACCACCCTATTCCTTCAGCCCCAGTCAGGATGATAACCATCATTTCCCCAACTGACATTTTCCAACTCACTCTTCAACTGTCATTTCTCCTTTCCTTCTCTAAAAGGACCCAAGACTGCTGAAATATACTGAGTTCAAACGCATTCAGTGATCATCTCATATTTATTAGTGATTTCAGCAGGACAGAAAAGAAAGACTGAAAGCCTCTGGCCAAAGCCAGGTTATATGCATGCAAAAGGTAACACCCCCCCACACACACACACTCCGAACGATAGGCTATTTACAAGTCCTTATCTGTCCATTGGTCTACTCTAGGATCCTTGCTTCCCTATTGGTGTCTTCTGGGATCCTAGCCAGCTATTGTTATGGATCTTTAGCTGGCCTGACTAACCCAACACATTAAACCTGCTGTCAGTCAAAGTAGACGAAACCAATTCTGATGGGCCAACATATGAAACCAATTCTGATAGCTTCATGTGTTCCTTCTGAAGCAGGTTTTCCAGTTTCAAAAGGGTTATTATTTATTTCAAAAGGGTTATTATTTATTTATTTATTTATTCGACTTAGACTACTGTTACACATTTCCATATAATCTGGACCTGCAACCTGGGTTCAAGTCCCATTTATATTGTATTCTCATTGTATGGCCCTAGGCAAGTTATTCTGTCTCACACTCAACTTCCATCTATCAAATGGAAACACTTATTATACAGAGTTGCTGCCAGGTAGAATGTAAATGAAGACTACAAAGCACTTTGATATTCTGTAAACAACAACATTGTGAAATATAGATGAGGTCCCTGCTTGCTGAAGGGCACCTTCTTACTTCCATATGGATCAGGTCCACCTTGCAACCAGACCTTCAGGCATTCACAAAGTACAGAAGAAACTGTCCATTTGGAACATCCGGTACATGGTATGGAATTCAAAATTTTAGCTTCTCTGGCAGAATTGTCAAGTTGCAAACCAGTGACTGACCCTGTAACTATTAACCATAAGGTATAGATAGGCACTTTCAATCTGGGGCAAGTGATGCTCTGTGGTGCTTGGGGGGGGGGCAACAGTGGGAGGGCTTCTAGTGTCCTAGCCCCACTGCTGGACCTCCCGATGGCACCTGGTATTTTTGCCCACTGTGTGACAGAGTATCGGACTGGATAGACCACTGGCCTGATCCAACATTGGCTTCTTTTATGTTTTTAACTTTACGTCCACCATTGATTCATGGCATAAGGTAATTGTGGGTTTTCTCATCCATTTCTTTCCTGATATTTCTCCCCTCTTCCCATAACTCCTTGCCTGCTGTTCCATGCCAGAAAAGAATGTGGCAAGGAAAGGAAGTGCCCCAGGAAAGAATGTGTAAAAGATAAGCTGTGGTTGTCTAATTTCCCAGATCAGCTGTGAATCCCACTGCTGGACCTCCCGATGGCACCTGGTATTTTTGCCCACTGTGTGACAGAGTATTGGACTGGATGGACCACTGGCCTGATCCAACATTGGCTTCTTTTATGTTTTTAACTTTACATCCACCATTGATTCATGGCATAAGGTAATTGTGGGTTTTCTCATCCATTTCTTTCCTGATATTTCTCCCCTCTTCCCATAACTCCTTGCCTGCTGTTCCATGCCAGAAAAGAATGTGGCAAGGAAAGGAAGTGCCCCAGGAAAGAATGTGTAAAAGATAAGCTGTGGTTGTCTAATTTCCCAGATCAGCTGTGAATATGAAGGAACATCTAAATGGCATTTGACAACCTTATTACCTTGCTTCCTATTCCTTTTCTTTCCTTTTTAAAGAAGCTGGGGCTCCTGACGCATCTGCGAGTACCATTTGCGGTTAGGGCTTGGGTTGGGAAAGACGGCTATGGCTGCTGCGAGGGCGTGAAAATCAGGGCCGCCCCCTCCCAGGACGGCCTATGATGGGGTCGAGGAGAGGGGAGGAGGAGGGGCCACCTGGGGAAAACGCGCCGCACTTCAGTCGATTCATTTACATTTTTAATTAGATTCAACGGGGCCCGTAGCTACCGGGGAGGGGGGGGATAAGGGCGCCTTCTTACTCAGAGTTTGTTAAACATTAGTTGCCAACCAAGGCCTCAGAACTTCCACTACGAAAGAAATCATATTTGAATGCAGCAACCAGTCCCTGCCCGTCCTCACCAGTGAGCAGATAGCCTGCCATGAGAAGAGAAAAATCTCTCACCTAGTTAGGAGATCTCACACTTGCTGAAAATGTTGAGCAGCTCCTGTGCACCAAGATCACTTTCTTGCCATAAGCTTGCGGCTCCAACTCAACGACCATTCTGGCTGGCAGCCATCATCACACTCCAAGCAAATGTTGCTATGGCAAATGCTTAGTTACCAAAGCTTGTCTCTAGAACCTTCGCGTGTTTGCTTTTGTTGATTTCATATTCATACTCTGTAAAGGGGCAGAAAAGCATCTTCAGCCTGCCAGAGAATCTGAACAAAAGTAACATCTAAAGCTGCCCTAAAATGTATAAATTAGTTTATATTATCATGAATTAATAACATTATGCCCTCTGGTCCAATCTGCTTTGGAACCTTAGTAACGTGAATGTTGTATGCAGGGTATGTAACAGCAGTAAAATGATTGATTTCTCTTTACAGTATCTGGTTATATCTGCTGTAAGAAATCTAATTTGAATTGAGGGTTAAGAATAGTTAATTTTCAGACTAATTAATTAATCCACAGTTGTCACTGGTATCCTTTGAGGCTTGAGCTTCTGTCACAACAGAACATTTTTAGCTTCACTTTCTATCTCACTTTTCTCAAGCAAAAGCAGAAAAAATGTTACCTAGCTACCATTGTAGTCCTTAAAGCAACTCATTCCCAAATACTTTGAATGACATACATGGCACTAACCTGGCCTAGCTGCTTTGAGGATCACATTAAGGCTTGCCGTCTTTTTTGACCACCATAAATACATCCTTCTGGTAATCAGATGGAATATGTGAAACCAGGCCTCCAAATTTATCAGCCTGCCCTTTTAGGCATGTACTTTTTTTTTTTTTTAAAAAAAGGTACACATGGGTGGGTATATGTGCAACTCACCTAATCATGCAATTCCTCATCATATTGCAACTTTTTGGTGATTCTGTGGTTAAAAAGGAAGATGCTCTGCTATTGATGTAGGGAGATTTCACAAAATACACAATAACCACATGCAGTTAGGGCAAAACTTTATTTACAGGAACAGAACATGGAAAAATCAAGAGAACAGGGAAAATGGTCCCATTAACAAAAAGGATGTATAGAGCAAAGCTCCAGGCCTGCAGCACAGCTCAGGGCAGAAGTACTGAGGGCCAATTAGTCCAATCAGCTCTCATTGGAGGGAAAGTACTTCAGTAGTCCAGTAAGCTCAGGAATATTATTGATTGGCTCCAAGCAGAGTTGGCTTCAAGTTCACTGGATGAAAGTCCAAGTCATTAAAATACAAGTACCTGGAGAGGGGAACATGGGCAAGGTTTATAAAAAACAACAACAACCCATCCAGGAGCGTCTGTACGCAGCCGTTTCTAAGTAAGAATCCTGGTTAGCTTGGTTAATTCTTAAGTACTTCTGGGGGCAAGATGAGTACTCGGCACAGAGTTTTAATTCCTGTCAAAGTAACAACTTTCTTAAGCTTCAGATATGGATGAGGTGGAAGGTGTGGCTGCCTCTTCCTATATAGGGTCTGGGGTTTTTTGTTGTTGTTTTCAAATAAACAGGCCAGTAGCCTGGAAGAAGCAGAAGCACCAAGTTCTTCAACCAAGTCCATTTCTTTCTGTGCAATGATGGCCATCACTTGACCAAGATGACTGCAAAAAGTGTAGACTCCAGCCTGTCTGTTTTGTATTCCATTGGCTGAACGTCTCTTCTGGCCAATGCCAATGCCTAAATGTTTGTTTGTGTCCCAAGATCCACAGGCAGTGCTAGGTGACAAACTAAGCAGTGGTCCGAAACAACACGCACAGGGAACAGCAATTGCTGAAAATAAGGCTTCTTCCACAATGAGTGATCACCTCTCAATTCTTCCACCGGATTTGCTGAAAAAGAACAGGATATAGAGGCTATCAAAAACAATCACAGTTCTTAAAATAGCTCCAATAAAACTTCAGACCTTCAAAATCCTAGCTCAGTTGTATACCACACCTCTAAAAATACAACTTTCAAATACATCATTCTCTGCAGAATGCTGGGAAAAATGCGGAAATATAGGATCACGTCTTCATTGTTGGATATGCTGCCCAAAAATCAAAATGTTTTGGGAGGAAATACTTAAACAAATGTAATTACTGGCTACACTATACCATTAACCTTAGAAAATTTCTTTTTAAATGGATTGTCACACCTCTCTTGTCCCCACTCAACTAACGAAATTATCGGGGTGGGGTTTTCGGCGAGCTAATGGCAGCTGTGTTGCCTGGGATCTCCCAGGGATGCGGCTTGCAAACCAGCAGTTAGAGAGGGGATGCAAACGTACGTACCCCCCCCCGGGACTCTTGCGAAGAGTCTCCAGTCATGGAGCACTGAGGGTCGCCTCTTTCCCGGCACGCTGTCGGGAAATGGAGGCATCCCTTTGCTCCGACGGTCTCTCTGCTGTGTTCTGGCAAGGACTAAGCTACGCACACCCCATCAAGCATGGAGGTCGAGCGGTTAATATGCATATCTGTTGGCGAGATCTATTTGATTTACATATGAAGAGTGAGTAAAGTTGAAATGAAACAACAAAGCGAGCCCCTGGGGGAAAGCGAGGGGGGAGAGGGGACTCTCCTCCTCTAAGAACTGTTTACAAGCGTTTTGGAGCTAGAAGAAAGGGGGGGCATGTTTAAAAGCAACAATGGACTATATTGGAGAGATCACAGGAGGCAGTTAAGTGTTAAAGCAAGTTTTCAGGACTTTGGCAAACTATGTAAAAGTAAACATCCTTAAAAATGGTGACGGACAACATAGTAAGAGCAGCAAGTGATATCCAAGCGTCTTCCAGGAAGTGAAAAAGAGGCTGGTAACCATGTGACCAGAAATAATAATCATAGACTCTTGCAAACTGTGTCTTAAGTTTTTGTCCCTTGTTGGTATAAATGAGGTACTATGCAAGAACTGTGCTATATGTCAGCTGTTGCTTTTAAAAGGACTGTGTTAATATTGGAGAAGCGTCTAACCAATGATCATAGGTGCTTCCAGGATCGAATAGGAGAGTCAAAAGGGCATTTGCAATTCGAAGGGCCTGTATGCAGACCATAAGCGAGGCTTAAAGCGAAGGAGTATCTTCCATGGTTATATCCTGATTAAGTCTGCTGGGCAATAAGGTGACGAGACTCTCTTCAAGCTGGGCAGTGAAAAGCAAATTGGAATGATCCCTATGATTGAAGGCAAGAATTTAAGTGGAACAGTCCTGGAAAAAGGAGAAGGGACTTTGTTTTGAGATGGCCAGTTCCTGATACAGCAAGACGGTGCCACAGGGAAGAAGAAAGAGGAAAATAGCAATGGAAGAGAAAATGAGACTATGTTATATCTACCGAGGGAGACTTACTGTTAATTTGCTTTTAATGGTGGAAGGAAAAATAATGGTTAAATGAGATGTCATTGTTCTCTGAAATTTGTGTCTAAGTTAAATAGCAATTCTCCTGGATTACTCTTCATATAGTCAGATTTGTTGGGAAGTTTTCATAAGCTATGAGGGGAAATTTTCATAAGCTCTCAATGTTAAAGAAAGCTTTTTACCATTGTTAAGCAAACTTTTTATAAGCTGTATGTGACCTCCAACCCTTGGGTTTTTAGTGGGTTTTCTTTTCTTTCTCCTATAGTGTGTTGTCTCCCTCCCTAATTTCGTTATAGCTTTTAGAAAATGCAAATAAAAAATTCCCTACAGGGGGCCATAAAAAAATAATGAAATTATCTCTGTCCTACCATCTGCTGCTAAAACAGCTATAGTGGCTCACTTGAAAAAATAAACTAGCGCCTAATCTATCTCTTAGGCAGCAGAAAGTCTGGGACCAATATATAATGGTGAAAATTACAGACAACTTGTCCCCTATTGATTCACATACATCTCATTTTAAAATTATTGCAATCTGGTTTCCTATATTAGCGTATTTAATGCATCAGAAAGTAATTCTGAGTAAAATTGATGATTTACATTTTTGGTAAGTTTTACAAGATATTCCTCCAATTTATGCTATTTCTGTATTTGTGAAACCTGTATTTCCTGTTTCGTACCATATGAACATGTTCTCTGTATATTGGATTGAATTGTATTGTATTCTCTGTATTCTGCTACAGTTTGGAATAAAATGTGAATAATAATTAAAAAAAAAATCATAGTTCTGAGCACATAATGCCTTAAGACAGAGGTGTCAAACCCATTTATTACGAGGGCCGGATCCGACATAAATGTCACTTTGTCGGGCCAGGCCATGTGTGCCATAAAATGTAACACAGGTACTGGAGATACAAACTTTATAAGGGACACAGGCAAACTCAATTAACAATATTATTTTTACTCAAAATACAAACAAAAGCAATTGATTCCTAGCAGTGAAAGCAACTTATTTACTGGGGAACCCATAAAAGCCCCAATAAATGTATTTAGTCATACGCAAGACTAGATTTTTTCCAAGGGATACCATAAAAAGGGAAGTACCTTGCATTGCCATATATATCAGCTGCTTGCAGGCTGGGTAGGAGCCCTGGATGGGCCAGTTCCGGCCCCCGGGCCTTATGTTTGGCACTTCTGCCTTAAGAGATCTTATTGATTTTGAAAAACTATTAATTCAGCCAGCAAAAACAAAAAGGGTTTAGTGTCCAGTTATTCATCAGACACCTTGCAATTAGAATACAGAAGAAGGCGAGAAAAGGATGAGAGTCCATTTCAGCTGTGAAATGGGAAGGACTAATACAACTCAAAAAATGTTACTTGACTATAGAAATTAGGGGAAGTTGTTATAAACTATTTTTTCAGTGGCATTATACATCAAGTAGATTAGCAAGGATTCCAAATGAATCGATTCTGTTTTGGAAATGCAGTAAAGAGAGAAGGGCATTATTTCATAAGTGGTGGGGAAATTACTGAGTATATTGCACAGAGACATTGAAGAAATGATAAACCATAAATCTAAATGCTCCCCAGCAATTTACTTTTGAAGTAATTTTCAGAAAGAATAAAAAAGGAGTACAGAAGTTTGGTAATTAATTTAATAATTGCAGCAAGAATGATGATAGGGCAGATATGAAGACAATAGGTTATACCAGGAGACAAGAATGGTTACACAGAATATAGCAAATTATATTAATAGATAAGATCACAACATATAAATGTATGTGGGAAAGGAAGAAATGTTGCTCTTAAGAAAATCTCTCATTATATTGTCCCATTTCTACCTGTGTCATGGCAAGCAGCAAAACTGAGTTAATTCTTCTTACCGGGTTACTCAGGATACTATCAATCTTCACCTCTGCTGGAGAACCACGGTCGACTTTACATCTATATGCCATCAGCTGGAGACGGTCCTTCAAGTCTTTATATGTCTAGTTAAACAGCAAAAGTAGAAACCAGCAAAAGAAACTTCAGCCTCTTATGACTCCTTTCTATCTCACAGTAGCCTCGGGACTAATCTTCCAATCCCTTCCCTTCACACACATAGCCACTACCAGGCAGCCATCTTCACAGGCTGATCTTAGTGAAAACCAGTTTTGACAGCTGCCCCAGTGGGGAACCAAGGCTTTCAGCATATCAACACATAAAGCTGCATTATACCAAGCTGGACTCTTGGGTTTATCAAGATCAGTATTATTTATTGTGACCGGCAACAGTTCTCCTGGGTTTGAGCATCTATCCTGATCTTTTTTAAAAAAACTGGAGATGCCAAGGACAATCTACCTTTGAGTCACAGCCCCTCCTCAACCCTTCTGGGAAAGGAGGCAGTCACATCAGCAATTCAATACTCATACTTAGCTTCGCTTTCCATCATGTGTTATATTTTAGTTGATACTTGATACCTGGCAGCTAGGGCTAAAGGGTAGAGAGTTACTTAACCAACTGTTTCCTATTAGTTATGTTTTATCTCTGCCTTTTAAACTAGAGGGGGACACATTTTAAAAAAAGGCATTGAATAGAAAACAGGGACTTGTGCCGTCATACTTCGGGCACACTTCTACGGTGTCATGAACTTGATTCTGTGACAGAACCCATTACAATGAAATTCATACAGAATCCCACTACTGTGAAATCGCACTAGGAACTATAGATTTAGGCCAACATAAATTGTTTGCGAAAGGTATAAAGATTAAAGAGCTTGAGAAGAGTTTCAGTATCTGGATGAGAAACATTTTTACTTTCCACAGATCTTCATTTCTTTTACAGAGCAACTGCCAGTTCTCTGCCCCACAGCTCCCCCTTCTTTCCCCCTTCTCCTAATGCACCACTTTGCACCTGGCTCACCTGCTGTGGTGTGCTCAGGGCTGGCTCACCCGCTAGGCAAACTAGGCATTCGCCTAGAGTGCGGGCCGGCCCTGAGGGCACCAAACTGGCTCCCCCCCGCCAAAGCCCCCCAGCCCCCGCCAAAAGCCCTATATTTCCCTGACTGCCGCCGCCGCTGCCTCTTTCTCCCCGAGTCCAGCAAGTAAAAAAGTAACTTTTTTCCCACCACAGTGAACAATGGAGGGGGTGGGGGCAACCTGTTTGGGGGCCCGTAGAATTGGACCCCCTGGTTCAATGTTCCTGAAACATGGAGGGCATCTTGGGGAGAGGCTCCAGCAGCTACCCAGCAATTCTGGAGCCTCTCCTTCAAACGCCCTCCCCTCCAGCCCCCAGAATATACCCTATGTTTTCACCATTGACTTAAATGGCCCATAGGATATAATGGGGCCGAACTGCGGGAAGCCCCAGCAGCCCTCAGGCCGGAGCACCTGGAGCAGTCTTGGGAAGCGGATTGGCAAAAAGCAAAACCAAAAGTGCAGGAACTCGAGAGAATTCCAGGAATGGAGCCGGTTCCTCTTCCACAGCCCAAAATGCGACCCACGAACTCTGAGCTTCCTTTTTCTCATTTGCAAGTCTGGCCTCCGCACTCCTTTAACGAGGCAGCCCTGAAGCTTGGGGCGGAGGGAGTTTCTTTGCACGCAGCTTGTGAGGCTGGCTGGCTGAGTGCCTCTTCTGCTTGCCCACCTCTCGCCTCTGCACCTCATCTTCTGCCAGGCATGGAGGAGCCCAGCTCACCCAGGTTTCTTGCCTCCTGCTGCCTTGGCCCTCTGGTGCACGGGTGAGTCCCCAAAGTTCGACTCTTCCTCTACAAGTCTCTGGCGCTGGAGGTACTCGCCTCCTTCCCTCCTGCCTGCTATGGTTGCATAATTGTGAGAGATTTCTTAACATAGGGTTCCTGCCAGGGAAGCTGGGGACCCTGCCCATGAGTCTCCATTTCATCCTCACAACAACCCTGTGGGGTAGGTTAGGTAGAGAAGGGGAGATTTGGCCCGGGGTCACTCAGCCAGCAGAGTGACAATACAAACCTGGGTCTCCCCACATCAATCTGCAACTCTGACCACTGTGCAGTGCTGCCTCTACTGATCTGTAATGTTCCAGAGGTGTTGTAATGTAATACTCAGTTTCTCAAAGGAGTGTATGCCTGTCTGTTGGTCCACTTAGGAGTCTTGATCCTGGTTGGGTGGTGGGCTAGTTGTGGCAAATGGTAGGGAAGCTCAGTATTTCTCTATACAGTTGTAGGGGCTTTATTGCAATGTGGTATGGCCTGATATTATACCCCCCCGGAAACTGGAAAGTCTACGCCCTTGACATCAGGGGCAATGCACAGCAGAGATCTTTTGCGGCAGTGTTTGAATCCGCCCCTTAGGACTGGTAGATGATGACTACAGTTGACTGACAGTGGATTAGGATTGGAATGGGCTTCTTCTCCCATGGCATCAGTAACCTGTGGAACTCACCATCACTGGATGCAGTGGTGGCCACTAGGTTAGGTCGGGTTAGAGACATTCAGCAAGCCCAACTGCGTGCACACTCTCTCCGCATCAAAGCAAAGAATAGACACAGTTTCTGTGCATGGTTGCCAGCTCCAGGTTGGGAAATACCTGGAATTCAGGAGCATCCACCACCTCCCGAGGTAGTCTGATCCACTCTGTGTGTGTGGCGCACGCTCAGCAGCTGGACGTCCTCTCCAGGCCCTGCCTGGAGGTTGGCAACCCCGTAATTGGTGGGTGCACTGGGGGGGCAGAAGGTGGTCTCGCCTAGAGTACAAAAATCCCTGGAGCCAGCCCTGGGTGTGCTTCCTGTCTGGAATCATATTTTCAACAGTCTGCATACCCAGCGCTTCTTTGTGTGTGTGCTAACACTGACCATTCAGAAATTGGGGGTCTTTTTAGAAGTTACACCTTTTTAACTATGCAGACTAATGTCCCTAGGGGTTCTTGTCACTTACCATTCAAGAAACCAGGAGAGAAATAGAGGGAGAAAAAATAAACAAGAAGAGTTGCAAGGCCAACAGTTGTAGGAATAGTGAAGTTCAAGAGAAGGGAGAAATCTTGCCCTTCAAGGTAGTTGTGTACTGTAAAGACCACCTAGACCTTGCAGCAATACAGCAGCTGGACCAAATACCAGTAATGGCTTAAAGCTGTATATTGATGCTACAGCCAGATGGGCCTCTCATGAACCTAGCGGAGATTTTTCTATGCGCAATTATAGCTGATTAAATTTAAACAGCTACCAAGAGACGGGGGAAGAGGCAGCAGCTCTGAAGCACAGGCTGCTGCAGGGAATCCTTAATGGAGAGCAGGAACAAAAGAGCATGACGGGGGAAAGAGGACTTTTAGCCATTATTTGGGCTTCTGGGAGACTAATGCCCTGGGAATGCTTGTGCAAGCGGGCCATCATGTTTCCTCCGTCTATCCGTGGTTGACGTTCATATGAAATCGAATATGGCTACCCCAAGGCCCCTAAAATTCAGGAGGCTTGACTAAAGTATTTGTGCAAATGGGAGATCTGCACCCACCACTCATCTGCTCCAGTCACAGACTCAACAACGTACACAGAAGGAGCCAGGGGCATCCCCCTACCCATCACATTCCAGCAGGACTCACATCTATAACAACATCATGGCACTTGTATTTCATGGCAAGGTTCAGCTTTGTCTCAACGTCTTCCACCAGGTGAACATACTCCTGGAGGATCTGAAGAAGAGGAATAGGAAGTATCAGCACAGCTATCCAGAAGCTGTCACCTTCCCTCTATCTATACCTTGTGGCTAATAACCACCAATGGACCTCTGCTCCATATATTTATCCAATTCCCTCTTGAAGCTGTCCATGCTTGTAGCCACCACCACCCCCTGTGGCAGTGAATTACTTGCTCACTGACTCACCTGCACTGGGGCATTATTCCGCTGTAAGATCTCCACTACCCGATGGAAGCCAATGGGAGCTTTCTTCTTTGTGTAGCCCAACCAGTTCTGAAACCATATGAACCATTACAACTCGACATAGAGACACACAGGAGAGTACAGAGAGCTTGGGGGTGGGGGAGAGACATCGAACGAAATATTTAGGAACAGGCATGAAATGTCTTTCAATAGCTCCTCTTGTATGCTAGGTGCCCAAATGGCCAATTGGTTGGGAGTACTGCTCTTTTCTGATAAGCTTTATCTGTAGAATTTTATCAGCAGACTAGTGTCTCTCATCGTTGGACTTCAGGCTATGTGTTTGTTTCTCAAACTAGAGAACTGGAACAGGACTTCAGGCTATGTGTTTGTTTCTCAAACCAGAGAACTGGAAAAAGAGTCTTCTTCTAAATGAGCTTGTCCTGAAGGTGTCATGCACGAGGAGGCCCCTTAAAATATGAAGATGCTAACACCAAACACATAAAAAATTCTGTGCCAAATAGTATGACTCACAGATGCCCTTCAGCCAGTGAAGCAATATTTTGTTCAAACTCCAACCCACCTTGGTGGTGAACAGGGCATCTACATCATGCCAAGCCCGGAGTTTAGCACGAGCAGCCAGAGCTGTCAACACGTACTGTTTGTCCGGAATCTGAAAGAAGAGAAATGAAAGAGTTAGAGTGTGGTAAGGCAGAAGATAGATCGGACCCAGTGGCCAGTTTCAGGCAGACTACTGAGCATCTCAGGTTCCTGAGATTCTTGCAAACAATGCTGAATGAGTTGGGACCACAGTCTGAACTAGCAAAGCATTTTTTATACAATATCAAGTAACCTGGATCACTTAAAACCGATTAGATATGTCTCAGACTGTTGAGAGTCTGAGTGGGCACTCTTGCTTTGTACGTGTAGCACATATACACCCAGGGCCTTCTTGGTGGCAGCTCCATACTGATAGAATAAGCTCCCGGAAAAGATCAGGGCTCTGTGGGACCTTTTACAGTTCTGCAGGGCCTGCAAGACGGAGCTCTTCCACCAGGCTTTTGATTAGGAGCCACATTACACAACGAGGAGTGCCCCTGTGCCCTGGCTTTACCATCTTTCATCACCAGCCTGTGCCCTGGCTTTACCACCTTTACCACTGCACAACAAGTTGAGTGAACTGAGCTGGCACGAATACCATTGGAACATATCGTCACCTAAGATGTATTATAAATAACTTTGCTCTCGCTTTTATCAGATCATGTTCCAGCATTTTAGGAGTATTTTAAATGACTGTTATTTTATGTTTATATGTCTATGTATTGTATTTTTAATTGTATTTTTAATGAATTTCTATGTAAGCCGCCCTGAGCCTGCCTCAGCGGGGAGGGCGGGGTATAAACTGAATTAAATAAATAAATATTGGTATATTATGAAGATTCGAGTTTTTAAAAAAGGAACTGGCCACCTCTGCATTCCAACACAGACTTCTATACAAAACTGATGGAAGAGGTCATCCAAGGATCTGGAAAGAGGTGTCAACAACATGCAGACAGCACCCAGCTCTATTTCTTCTTAACAACTAAGCCAGGAGAGCCTGTGGAAGTCCTGAATAGGTACCCAGAGAAGGTAATGGGATGGATGAGGGCCAATAAACTGAAACACAGTCCAGAAAAGACTGAGGTGCTGTTGGTCAATGAAGAAGCTACTTGGCGACTACGGAGTTAACCTGCCCTGGAGGGAGTTGCACTCCCCCTGAAGGAGCAAGTTTGTAGCTTGGGGGTACTACTGGCTCTCTTCTGTGGCAGATCTCCTCTGTGGCACGTAGCACCTTTTTCCTGCTCCTGCTAATTCACCAGCTATGGCTGTTCCTTGGAAAGCGTGATCTGGCCAGTGTTATCCATGCTCTGATCACATCCCAATTAGATTACTGTGTTCTATGTAGGGTTGCCTTTGAACTCAAAGTTACTGTCCTGGTTACAGAAATCGTACCACCCTTGTGCTGAAAGATCTGCACTGGTTAATCATCCTGTTTCTGGGGACAATTAAAATTGCTGGTTCGTACCTTTAAGACCCTAAATGGCGTGGGGCCAGAGTACCTGAAGGACTGTCACTACCCATCCTATCCAGTCTGCCAGTTAAGATCTCCTTCTCAAGCCTTCAGCGGTGAAGCAAGTGGCAACTGGAGGCAGGGAATTTTTGTAGAGGTACCTCACCTTTGGAACGCCCTCCCCCTTGAAGCTTGCCTGGCACTTACTTTACTTTATTTTAGGTGCCAACCAAAACACATATTTTTACCCAGGCTTTTAAATACGGGTTTTTATCAGCTTTGTAATGGTCTGCTTCTGTTTTATGGATAATGTTTATGCCAGATCGCCCTCACATCCTAATGTTTATGCTGCTTATACCCAATGGCTTGTTTTAATATTGTTCTTTTAATTGTAAGCCACCTTGAGCAGCACTCTGAAGAAGAATAGAAATATCCTAAATAATTAAATAAAACAACTCCAGACTCCTTACCTTGAAGGTTTTCTTCAGGTTCGCTGGGCTGCTGAATGTTCCCTGGAATGAAGAGATATGGCGAACTCAGGACACGGGGGGGGCAATAAGGATGGTGCTATGCCATCCTAGGAAGTACCACGACTGGTAACAGACAGTCTAGAAAAAAGCTATTCACCAGCCATCTTAAGCTCCGTCTCTTCTTGCGTTTCACGATATAGTCTCCTTACAGCTTTACCCACAACACATCAAGAGCTGTATGTTCAGTCTGTTGGCAGCGGTCCCAAAGAGGCAGCTGCTCTTTGGGTTATACATATTTGTTAAACCGAATACACGAACCAGCTCCAAATTCATGTCCCTCTATTCTATCATGTCCCTTCCCCAGAAAAACTGCAGTACTCATATAGCATGTTGTCTACCTGGAAATCAGGAAGAGAACTGCATGGCTACTCAGCATAGGATGCAGTCTTGCTCTTCCCTCTCTTTAACATGGCATGGGGTAGCAGTCAGGCTTTAGGGAATAATACAGAAGATCTTCTGAACCCATTTCCAGCTGGAGACTCCATCCCTGGCCACCCCCATTATCATCCTAACCTCAGCCTCTGTGTAATGGTAGAAGCAAGAGTAGAAGAGCGTGGTGACCAGGGGCATGTTTAGGATGGAGGCCTTTCGTGGGTGTTTCCGAAATATCTCTGTCTGTCCAGCTGCTTCTGAATGCTTGTCATTTGCCTGGGAAAGCAGGGCAAGAAACATGCAGTATGAAGACCAGACAACGATGGCTTCAAAATTCAAGTTAAATCACAGGTTATTCAAGGCAGGAAGTGGATTCAGTGAACTTATCTCTCCATCTACCTAACAGGGTTTTTTTTAAGGGGGGGGAATACAGGCAATATACCTCATATACATTTTCTTGAGCTTCTTAGAGGAAGGGCAGGATATAAATCAAAACAACATTGTTATTAATAAGAACATAGTCTGACCTTGTTTTTTAGATTAGACATATTTTATACACAAGATTTTTATAACTGGATGCCAGGCTGTAAAATATCAGAATGTTCTGAAAACCACAAAGTCCTTCGGCACCTTTCCCGAAGATCTCGCTGTGGCAAGGAAGCCCACATATCCCAGAAGTAACATCTGCTTAAGGCAGCCCCATTAGTAATTTGTTTTTAACGCAGATAGGAAATTTGGGGAGACCACTTTTGGGAAGAGCATGGGGTTAGGACAAGGGAGAGCTGGGCTCAAAACCCCACTCTGCCACAAAGCTTACTGGACGACTTTGAGCCGGCCACTCTCTCACCCTAGCCCACCACACAGGGCAAAACTGAGGACAAAACTGGGATATGGAGGAACCATGTACACTTCTCTGAACTCCTTAGAAAGCGAGGATAAAAATATATAGATTGATCAAAAAGCCAGGAAGATCAGAAGAACTCTGACACATGTGCCCCACAGTCAAAATTAAGCAGCACTCACCTCAATGATAATCTGCCTCTCTAGGAGTGTATAATGATCTTGGACAAGAGCAGAATCTTCTGAGGAAAATGGTAACCTAAATACAAGAAGGCGCTCTCAGTCTTGCTTTGCTCTTGTGCAGATCCCTCTCTTGGGGAACTCTTTCCTGCTTTATCCATTGACTGTGACATTTCAGTATAGGCCAATTTTCACCCTTCTTCACGATTCAAATGATAAATCCCTTTGACATTTCTCATTTGAATTATCCCAAACTGCAGGCCCGTAGCTAACACGGGGCCCATGGGGCCCGGCCCCCTAGTAGTTTTTATGGGGCCCCTTCCTGAGCCTTGGCTCTCCTACCCCAACTCCCCCTGATTGCCTGTCAGCCTGAGGGCAAGGGAGGACAAGGGCAGTGATTTCCCCTGGTGCTGTGCCGTGGGAAGAGGCACTGGGGCTCCTTGGGGAGGGAGGGAGCTGGACCCGGACGCTCCACAGGGAAGGCTTGGCCTTGTGGGAGGGGAGGGGGAGAGAAGCTGCGACCGCTGCAGCCCTTGCCCTGGAGCCTTTGATTGGATTAGCAGGCCGGGCCCTCTAGGCCCCCTCCCTACAAAGTCCTTAGCTACGGGGCTGCCAAACTGGTACCCTTATAATAATTATTTCTTGATCCCAGTGGCCTGAACTTCACAAATGAAGCATTCAGTTTGTAAAGGTATCCATCTCCAACATCCCAACCACGAAGGATGAGAATAAGAAAGACAAAACACTCCCCCAATACAGCTGTGCCTTTAGGTCAAAAGAATAGTGGTTGGCTAGTGACCTCTGCTGATTCTTCACATGACTTCCCCACAGATCTTCAATTTCTCAGTTCTGGGTGGAAATTAAGGCCATTTGTACTGGTCATCACCTCAGTTCAGAGCACTCCACTTCTTACAATCCTGTAAAAATCTCTATCTGCATAACCCTCCTCTTACCCAATGCAACCTTTCAGAAATTCTTTTCGCTTCTCTGCATCCAGGATAGTCAGGTGGTCACGGTACTGTGTCAACTAGAGAGGGCAGAAAGAGACACAGAGAACAGGCTCAGGAAGGAAAAGAGAAAATGTTCAATCGAGGCACTAGAGCTCTGCCCAGTGACCTTATCCACTGAGATGTGGAAAGGAAAAATAGCAAGCAGTTTCCCAGAGAACATCTTTATTTCCCCAATTAAACATGAGCCAAAGCTTGCTGAAGATACTTACTGCTACTTCCTCCATCCTGTCCAAGAACCTGAAAAGAAAAAATAAGCATCGGATCTGCTTGCTACTATTCAACATTCAGAGTAACATCTTGGCCCCACTCTACCGCGAAGATCACCGGATGACTTGGGCCAGGCAACCTAACAGGCTTGTTGTGAGGATAAAATGGGGGAGAACAGCATACTCCCTGGAGGAATAAGAATATGATAGATAGGCAGGCTCTTACCTCAGCAAGTCCAGGAGGAGCTTCTGGTCTCCAGTCTCTTTGAGAAAATGTATGAAATGGCGCAAGGCCACCTGCCGCATCTCCAGCTCTCGGAACAGAACTTCTGCACAAAGAGATGAAAGGGCTAGGTCAGGCCTGAACTATGCCTGTACAGATCAGTTATTAGGAAGAGAACAGAGCGACAGTACAGATCAGTTATTAGGAAGAGAACAGCGTAAGCCTTTCCCTTTTAGTAGAAATGGTGGTTAATGTACTAGGGCTGACCTGAACCAGAGTACCCTTAGATGGGAATCAGAGCGAGACACGTTACAGACGTTGGGGTGCAGAAATTAAATGTAGATGTTGAACAATGACCTGAGGCTGCCTCTTGCTTGAAATCAGTGTTGCCATATTTACAAAAGGAGAAATGGGTTCCTGTGTGTGAACCATTTTAGGAGGTTTTGGAGTGTGCTAATCAGAGGTATTCCATTTCTGATAACAAGGCTATTGATATAAAAAATGCAACATCCTATCCACTAAGATCAGTCCCTTTAAGCATGGCACACGCTGATGGCCAGAAACATTCAACTCTCCAAAGCTACCTCATCAGTGGCAACGCGGACAGCCTTTCAGAACCAACAAAGATCTTCCTCTAGTACTGTCTCTAAGTGCTTACATTGTACAGCTACCATTAGAGAAACTGTGAAATTACCTGTGACTTTCTTTAAACATGCAATGTGCACTTTGAAAGACAGAGGTTTACTGTCCATAAGGACTCACGAACAAGGTAACAACACTGAATATGAGATTATTTGTTGTTCCATCTGCAACAATGTTTCAGAGGGGGTAATTAACACCAAAATTCAGATTCAGCAGAAAAAAACCTATCCAGTGAGAGAGGTCTTGCAAATTGAAACCCAGGAAACACCTTCTAAGAATTCTCCCAAATTAAATAGATGCACTGATATTCTGCCTCACAGGGCTTTGTGATTTTCATTGCATTCTATCCCCACAGCCTTTCCTCATAAGACTTGAATTCCAACCCTCTCAACATCCTGGTTGCCCTCTTCTGGACACACTCGAGCTCATCAACATCCTTCCTAAGACGTGGTGCCCAAAACTGGACACAGTACTCCAGGTGAGGCCTGACCATAGCAGAATAGAGCGGAACTACCACCTCCCGTGATCTGGACACAATGCTTCTGTTAATGCATCCTAAGATTGCATTAGCTTTCTTC